AGGGGCCCCCTTCTGACCCCTGGCCCTCAGGCAGTGCCCGAGTTCCCAGATGGTCAGTCCACCCCTGAGTGTAATGAACCCTAAGAAGGATATACAGTTGAGAAATGCGATGGGAAAGATGTACAGAATGCAAGGTAGCCTCCCACTGGTCATCCTCCAAAATCCCAACATCTTGTTCCCATTGCCCAGCGGCCCTACTCAGGTGTTTTTCCAGATAGTCCATCAAAAGCATGCTATAGTAATGAGAAATGAGCCCCCGGTCACCGTAGCAGATTCTAAATAATTAAAAATAGGGGCAGGAGAGGAGTGCCAAATGGCCGGTGGGCCCTGAACAGTAACTGCAAATAATAAAATGGCATCGTGGATGGTAGTCTATATACCCAGACTGTAAAACATCAAAGGAGAGAAGCTGACCATTGCTAAATACATGCTGCAATCGAGTGATGCCATAAGCTTTCCATTTAGAAACATATTGTAATTTGGCCAATTCTGGTATTGTCGCGTTGTTCCATATGGGACTATAAATTGTATGACCCGTAATCTGCTACAATTGCTTAACCATAAGCCAAATATTTTTGCATTAGCGATATGTAGGGGAGGATTTATTAGGTTTACATAAAGATTGAGCCTCAAGGCCCTCAGGAAAGGAGCCAGAGGCCGTGCAATCCAACATCACTTTCAGAGTAGAATCAGCAACCAGAGCCGGGTCAATACCTCCCTGCACTATACCCTTCTGAAAATGCTGCAGCTGGCTAGCAAGGTAATACAACCATGGGTTAGGCAAAGCAATCCCCCCCTCTATCCTTGGGACGCTGCAATTGTTCCAGGCAAAGCCGAGGTGAATGCCCCCCCTTCTCAAGCAATGAGTGAAATATGGTATTTATAATTGCAAAAGTTTTCAATGGAATTATAACTGGGGAGCTGTGCAGGAGGTATAACAACTGGGGCATACATATCATTTTTATAAGATTAGCTCCACCTGCCAGAGATAACAAGAATTTGGACCATATCTTGACCTTATCTCTAAATGATTTACAAGGGAACTATATTAATGCAGGCCATAGACGGGTCATTTATCGGCCGAATTGTCGTCCGAACGAAAAATCGTCCGATATTCAGACCGTTAGTGGGGCAATGCTGTCGGCTGTTTTTCGCGGATCTTCTCGTTTCTTTTTATCGGTCATGCTGGAAAATCCACAAAAAAAACGGCCGTTTTTCGTAAGCATTAGTGGCTGCCATCCATGGCAGCAACAACCGATTTTTCATTTTTTGTCCGACATGTCAGCCGATGAACAGCCTGTCTATGGCCAGCCTAAGGCGACAGTAATCTAGTAAATCAGCACTAATGAGGATACCTAAATATTTGAAGGAGGATGTAATCACCATCGGACAGAAAGTAGGCACCGGGGGATCCATGACCCCGGGAATTCAATGAGATTAAACGCATTGTTACCTGTTATCTTCCTGTCCTATGTGAGGACCAGATATGTGCAAACATATTCAAGGACAGCATCAATGTAGTTTCAAAAAGAGCCCCCACTCTAAGTAACTCTTTCTCTCCCAGTTTCTACAGTCCCACACAAGCTCAATCCACAACGTGGATGCATTTTAAAGGCAACTATCATTGTGGTGCGCTCTCCTGCCCATGTTGCACACATATTTTGAAGGGCAATAAATTTCAGTCTACTGTTAACAATAAAGAATCCAGTATTTCTTCCTTCTTTAACCACTTGCCTACCGGGCACTTACCCCCCTTCCTGCCCAGGCCAATTTTCAGCTTTCAGCACTGTTGCACTTTGAATGACATTGCGCAGTCATGCAACATTGTACTCATGAATTTTTTTTTTTCCTCACAAATAGAGCTTTCTTATGGTGGTATTTACTCACCGCTGGGTGTTTTATTTTTCTGCTCTATAAACAAAAAAGAGCAAAACATTTGAAAAAAAAAAGTTTCTTTGTTTCTATTATAAAATTTTGCAAACAGGTAATTTTTCTCCTTCACTGATGTGCGTTGATGAGGCTGCACTGATAGGCAGCACTGATGGGCACTGAAAAGCGACACTGATGGGCACTAATAGGCGGCACTGATGGGCACTTATAGGCGGCACTGATAGGCAGCTCTAATGAGGTGGCACTGATAGCTGGCACTAATAGGTGGCACTGTGGAGCTGGCAGTGATGATGGGTACTGATAGTCGGCACTGATAGGCAGCACTGATGAGCTGGCATTGATGATGAGTACTGATAGTTGGCACTGATAGGCGGCACTGACTGGAACCACTGCTAGGCACTGACTGGCGGCACTGCTGGGCACTGACTGGTGGCACTGCTGGGCTGCACTGATGGGCAGTGGTAGGTGGCACTGGTGGGCACTGATGGGCACAGGTGGGTGGGACTGCTGAGCACTTGTGGGCGGAACTGGTGGGTGGCACTGCTGGGCCCTGATGATCAGTGCCGATCCCTGATAACTAGCGGTAATCGGCAGTACTTTCCTCACGCTCTGACAGCGTGAGGAAAGTGCCGCCGAGAACCGTAAATTGCATTTCCCGGTGATCAGCGTGTCATTGGACACGGCTAAACATGTGATAAAAGGCCGCTGTGATTGGCCTTATACCACATCACGTGATCAGCTGTGTCCGTAGGACACAGAGATCACGGAGATAGCCGGGTGCGAGCCCCCTGGGGCACGCAGGAGAGCACGTTCTGGGAGGACATCATATGACAGGCTCACAGAACTGGCCGGCCGCAGTGCAGCTGTCATTCGGCTACCTGCGGTCGGCAACTGGTTGATTTTAATACCACCTACGCAGGGGTGGACTGACCATTCGAGAACTCGGGCACTGCCCGAGGGCCCTGGGTCAGTAGGGGGCCCCATGAAATGCCCATGGTACCTTTTTTATAGGCTTTTTTTGAGTGTGGGCAAGGACAAAGGAACCCCATGATCCCCTATTGCCCGGGGGCCCCATGAGTTGTCAGTCCGCCCCTGCACCTACGTGATTTATTTGATCACTTGTAAACTTTGCCACGTTCAGTATGTGGGACGTACAACTAGACACTTAAGGCACCGCTTTTATGAACATCTATATAGCATAGAAAGACATCTCTCTACAGGCGTTGCCCGTCATTTCAATAATTGTCATGCAGGAGATATTAAAGCAGTACAGGTGCAGGTCATTGAAAAAATCTGACCTCAAAAAAGAGGTGGTGGCACATTTTTGCGAGGTATTCTGGATCCCACAGAGTTTGAACCATGAATGGGATATTACATATTTGTAGGACTGACAGAGAGCATTTGTAGGGTGTTCCCTTTACTTTTGCATTTAGGTACATATGTGCACATATGGTGGATCACAAGCTTAATAATTGCATGCAATGCCAAGCTGCGGTTTCTAAAGCGAGCAAAATCCTCTCTTGTATTAAAAGAGGTATAGACTCCAGAGAGAGAGATATAATTTCAACCCAGTTCAAATCATTAGTAAGACCTCATCTGGAATATGCAGTTCAGTTTTGGGCACCAATTCACAAGGAGAACATTGGGGAACTGGAGAAAGTACAGAGAAGGGCAACCAAACTGATAAGAGGCCTGGAGGAGCTCAGTTATGAGGAAAGATTAGAGGAACTGAATTTATTCTCTCTTGGGAAGAGGAGATTAAGGGGGGATATGATCACCATGTATAATACATAAGGGGGGATATGATCAATATGTATAATACATAAGGGGGGATATGATCTCCATGTATAATACATAAGGGGGGATATGATCACCATGTATAATACATAAGGGGGGATATGATCTCCATGTATAATACATAAGGGGGATCTCCATGTATAATACATACATTAAGGGGGATATGATCACCATGTATAAATACATAAGGGGGATATGATCTCCATGTATAATACATAAGGGGGGATATGATCTCCATGTATAATACATAAGGGGGGATATGATCTCCATGTATAATACATAAGGGGGGATATGATCACCATGTATAATACATAATGGGGGATATGATCTCCATGTATAATACATAAGGGGGATATGATCACCATGTATAATACATAAGGGGGGATATGATCACCATGTATAATACATAAGGGGGGATATGATCACCATGTATAATACATAAGGGGGGATATATGATCACCATGTATAATACATAAGGGGGGATATGATCACCATGTATAATACATAAGGGGGATATGATCTCCATGTATAATAAATACATCAGTGATTCATATAGTGAACTCGGTGTAGAGTTATTCACCCTGAAGTCATCACAGAGGACAAGGGGGCACTCTTTACATCTGCAGGAAAAGAAATGTAATCTCCAAATACGGAAAGGTTTCTTCACAGTAAGAGCTGTGAAAATGTGAAATAGACTCCCTCAAGAGTTGGTTCTGGCCCACAGCCACAGTTACTACCTTTTGTACCACTAGCCCCTCCCTCTTAGATTGTAAGCTCCGAGGAGCAGGGTCCTCCTAACCCTCTTGTATTGAACTGTATTGTTGCTGTATTGTCTCATGTTATATTGTAAAGCGTTGAGCAAACTGTTGGCGCTATATAAATCCTGTATAATAATATTAATATATACATGCACGTGCATCCACACTTTTACTATATTCATTAAATTATCTTACATATATATTCGTTTATACCTCATTACTTAGTCTATATATTGGACGCATTGCATGGGTAGTTGGGTGCATTATGCTCCTATTTATGTGAAATATATACATATATATTTTCTTATTCCATTTTTTTTGCCATAATATGTTTTTCTCTCTCTTTCTCTGTTTTTTTGATGTTCTATTTTTGATGGAGCTTCTTGATATACTTCTGTCTGAATATGTATGGTTTATGTTTTTATCCCAAATAGACATGTATTTTTCATACATATCATTATTTGTATTTTGATTATTTACACATGTGATTTTTATGCTTATATGTATGTTTTTTGGGGGATATTCATTTCACCCATTTGTTTATGTTTGTATTTTTCGTATTTTCAATTTTTAATCCTCTTTCTTTTTTTCTCCATTTTTTGTTTCTGTTCTTCTCTTCTTCTCCCCTCCTTTTTTTTTTTGTTAATATTATTATTTTTTCCTGACACAATGGTTCTATATATATGTTTGTTACATTGTATCAGTAGGAGTATCCTCAGGATTCGAGAGCGCTGATTAGGACAGGTGTTTTTCACTTACTAATGCCTATATAAGACAGCATTCTCGATGTTTTGTCATGATTAAGCATGTGATTGTGTGAAACGCGCTAACAAGTTCTGTACACATATCCTGGTGTTTTGTGTGTCCTATGGATCAATAAATATTTGTTACTATTCATCAATCCTCCGGTGTGCATCTTACCCTTCTTCCTATTGCATCACGTGTGGTGGCGAGCCAGAGCCTACACCTGCCTTGGTTTGATTTGGATCATTTACTGGAGCGGTAATACCTTTGCTTCTTGGGTTTAATAGCACAGAGCCCTAGGAGGCACTCTGTACATGCTCAGTTTGGTGTGTATTGCTAGAGCGTTTTTTTTTTTTCCGGGAGGGTGCATTTGATCAGCACAGGGCTACCCAGCACTATCCAGACATTGGGTCAGGGGTTATGCAGTCTCATAGGACAATCAGTGAGAACACCTCCTACAAGCTTTAACCAGAGCTCTGCTAGACACTAATACACTTCATAAAACTGCTGTATACTGCTGATGAGAAAAGGTATTTAGCAGTTTATATTTACTAAAGTAATTGCATTTCCATGTAGTGTGTACTGTGGGGAACCAGATATAGTGAATGCAGGGTTCCGGGGAGACCAGATATAGTGAATGCAGGGTCCGGGGAGACCAGATATAGTGAATGCAGGGTCTGGGGAGACCAGATATAGTGAATGCAGGGTCCGGTGGAGACCAGATATAGTGAACGCAGGGTCCGGGGAGACCAGATATAGTGAATGCAGGGTCCGGGGAGACCAGATATAGTGAATGCAGGGTCCGGGGAGACCAGATATAGTGAATGCAGGGTCCGGTGGAGACCAGATATAGTGAACGCAGGGTCCAGGGAGACCAGATATAGTGAATGCAGGGTCCTGGGTTTAGTAACACTTTAAGGGTTCATTTTTTATATATTCAACATGAACACAACACTTACACTTTTTGCAAAGTGTCTTCTGTCTTCCACAACAGTAGCAGGATTCCCGCAAAGTGTAACAATCTTAATTGACAAGTGAACGTATTTCTGTCCTACTGACCAAATTATCATAAAAGTCAAGAAACACATACCTTCTTTGTCATTGGAACATAATGCCTTTTAAACAATTTTTTGTGTGATTTTCTTTATTTTATGAGATGCTTAAAGGCAAAGCTGTAAAAATAATTTATGATTCTAAAAGACATTTTCAGGCCCTGTAATTTTTCTAGTTCAAAGAATCGTCCTCTGACACGGCATTGTAGGTGATGACACAAAACACAAGCTATGACACAAAGGCCTACCTAAATCATACAACATACACCACTTTATAACATATTTTTCAGGCCTGGCACTGAGGTTGCTTGTTGCCTGCTGGAGATGTGGCATGGTGTGCCATCACTCTGACATGTTTTGCCTGATTATTCACAATTTTGTCATTCAGTTCTATTGGTTTTTGTATCCTGAAGGCTGGGGTGGATATAGTATCAGTTCAATTCCAGAGGGCCCTGAAGACGTTAAAGGGAATATTTGGAAGGACTTGGTAAGCCCAGGAGACCAGCTCTTGAGCTCCGGCTCTGGAAATACAGCCAACCTCCAACGATATGATCCCGAAATGAGAGTGGAATGATCAAGACTCAAAGTTGAAGGTCACATCAATGCCAAAGATGCTGAACCTGAGTGAAAACTTCCAGCGCAGGTGTGGGTCGTCAGTCTAGAGAAAGAAAAATATACAAATACAATCATTCAATGGTTCATAGGCAAAAGAGAACACACCCAGAAAACATTCCACCCACAAGGGTTGTCATGCTGTCACAACAGCAGTCCCTGCGACTTCTGGAAAATACACGCCTGGTCATGTTTGATGATTTATTAACCTCACATGGCTTCAGGTGTGAGAAACAAGTTTCATGAAAAGCACAGCATGGAAAATCAACAACAATGGTTTATATATAAAACAAAGGCTCTGCATGGCTGTGGAGAACCTAGAGGTGTGAACACATGTAATCGGCTTTCATAGCCCTGAAAGGGCCCCAAAGACTGCAGCATGTCATTACCATGATAGCAATAGGAACCTAAAGCTTCCCGTCCTGACTATCTGGAACTGACGCATGATTGACCAGCGGCATAACTCACCAGTGTGGCCCAATAGGTGGGGATGTCACTACACAGAATGTTGATGGGGACACCCAGTTTTGTCCTGTCGGCCTCTGCACCTGGCACAAGGTCGTATAATAAATCACCGCTGCTTGTTGTGTTCTGTTTGAGGAAGAAAGACCAAAAAGGGATCATTTTATTAAACTTGCTTAACCTCCCTGGCGGTATGATTATTTCCGATTTTTTGGTGCTGAAAGCGGTACCATTTTTTTGCATGGAAATATGTAGTTTTTTATTGTAGGCTGTAATTTTTAGGAATAACTCACTGAAATCTGTACGAACAAGAGTCTAGTAAACATCACGGGGAGGATAAAATTTGAAACATGAAATCATAAATTATAATTTAATAAATAATGATAAAAAATAATAATATAATAATAAATTTAATTCAATAATATAATCAAACCAAAAACACTGAAATTTGAAATACAGAGGCTGAGCAAAGTCGCAAAATCATTTTCAGTGTCTGATGACGAATTTCCCCACAAATCATTATCACTCAATTCTGCAAGTGGTTATGATTTACTATCGCTGTTCTCTATAGCCGGTCTAAAACCGCTTTTGACGTAAAGGGACGCTTTTTGACGCCATGCACTTTTCTAAGTTTCCAGGCAGAAAGAACAGTCAAAATGCAGGCAGGGCGCAGGACAAAGCATGTATGTGAAATGCATTGAAATAGCAATGTAATAATCATTTTAAAAAAAAATGACATTTTTAAAAAATTTCAAATGTGCCGCCGGTTCCGGCGCCCGTACGTTCGACGTCACAGGGACCGGAACACAGAAGCCGGATGCCGGCATCAGCCGGAGGAGATGGCCGGGGACGCTGCAGGGGACACATCGTGGGAGCGAAGGACAAGGTAAGTGCTGCAGGGACTCCCTTAGCAATGCCGCATGGTAAGCCCGAGTGTAGCTCGGTGTTACCACTCTTGGTACTCAAATTTTACCCCGAGCTACACTCGGGAATACCGCTGAGGAGGTTAATAACACGTTAAGACATTAAACATTAAAGTGTTACTAAACCCACAACAGTAAAATCAGTCTGTATATACAGTAAAAAATCATGCTTGTTATACTCACTGTGGAAGTTAAGGGGTTATTCCTTCGCATTGTGTAAAAAGGCTGTTAGATCCTATCTTCTCTGATCCTCCCCTTCTAACACAGTCCCAAATCCATCTGCTGATAGTACAGAACACTCTGCACATGCTCAGTTTGGTGCATATTGCTAGTGAGTTTTTTTTTGGGGGGTGGGAAGGTGCATGTGATCGGCACAGGGCCAATCAGCACTGTCCAGACAGAGGGTCAGGAATCATGCAGCCTCATAGGACAATCAGAGGAGAATGAAAACTCCTCCTACAAGATTAGCCAGTGCTCAGCCGCACATGATAAAAGTCACAAGACTGCTATATACTGCTGATGAGAAAAGGTATTTAGCAGTTTATATTTACTAAAATAATTCCATGTCCATGTTCTGTGTAGTGTGGCAGACCAGATATTGTGAATGCAGGGTTCGGGGTTTAGCTGGAAATGATTGCTTAGCAGATTGTAGGGTCAATCCAATTAAAATTTATTATAGGTGGAGCCACCTGCTGGCTATTTTATTTACTACCAGAGCTCCTGGCTCTGCATCTTAAGATGTTCATCATTTTGACACACGCAGATCCAACTCTTCAACCTCCTCTGGTGCATGAAACATGAGACTATCAGAGCTGCTGCACATGAAACATTCAGGTAAAATGCAGAGGTTTGATTGTGTAAAATCTGCTCTCTGGTGTCTATTCTCAGCAGCCAGCACCAGCACTCCCACTGCCCATCTGATAGGAAACCTAAACTTGTGTGCACTTAGCACTTGCATAGATAATGGTTCCTACCATGTGCTGGAACTGTTTGATGCTCTTCAGAATATCTGACATTGTTGGCACATTAACATCTCCCATCTTTACGATGTAACAATTCTTTCCACTGGTGCGCCTGAAGCCGATGAAACCCTGAGATAAGACAGAGGATCTTATTGGAAAATGTTGCAGATACATTAGAAGAAAGTGCTTCCATTTATTCTATAAAGCTAGGTTCACACCTAAGATTTTTGCAGTGCATTTTGTGTTATGAAGAAACTCATTACAGACCATTTTACATGATTTCCTATGGGTGAAGTTCACATCTCTGCAACCGGTGTATTTTTGGAAAGGGTCAGGGGCTTTTTTTAAATGCAAAGCAGTCCGTTTTAGTTCAATAGAGATACTGCAGAAATGCATTTAGTGTATTTTTACTTGTTTTGATGCATTTTGCATTTCTAATTGTCCCAGCAACAAGTTTAAAAAAACCCCTTTTAAAAAGCAAAACGCATGAAAAAGGCATAAGAAACGCACTGCAAAAAGCACTGCACAAACGTATCAAACACAAACTACATAGGTGTGAACCCAGCCTAATCCAGTTCAATTTTTGGTAGCAGCTTGTATAGCTCTAATCTCATTTGGTATTATCAAGATGCTTTTATGGAGGGGCACAAGCAGGACCAAGGCTGGACATAAAAGGATGATCCTCTACCTGATCTGTTAGCCCAGTATGGTTGTGGTTGGGAAGAGGGGCGGACTGACAACTCATGGGGCCCCCGGGCAATCGGGGATCATGGGGCCCCTGTGTCCTTGACCAAACTCAAAAAAGCCTATGAAAAAGGTACCAGGGGCATCTCATGGGGCCCCCTACTGACCCCGTGCCCTTGGGCAGTGCCCGAGTTTCCAAATGGTCAGTCCTCCCCTGGTTGGGAATGATTAGAGGATTTTGCCTTCAAAACAACTATTTTTGGGGTTTGTGAAACTGAAATTAGCCTCCAGCTATAACATGCAGATCTATGGAATAAAATCAACTTAATAAAAAACAAAGTTCCCCTTTAAAACTAGTAGTGTGGACCTCATTGCTGTGTGAATAGGAATCAGTGAAGTTGGGCATTTTCATGTCCCTGAAATTTTGCCAGAAATCAGGACACCTCAGTGAAATTTTGCCATTTTGGCAATATGTATGGGTTATTGGGCAAAGGCAAAAGAAGGGTGCTTTTTTTCTAAATACTTTTTTAACTTTTTTGTGTGACACCATTCTGTATGCTAGAAGACAGAAATCAGTTCTCTGAACTGTGGGAGTGAAAATGTATGAGTCAAAAATGGAGTCCCAGTTTTAAAAAATGTAGGCGTTAGGGTGTATTTTTGTTGAATATCATTGAGTTTGTCCATTACCATTAATTTATATGTAGGGTTTGTCCTAGTTGTGTTACCGTCAGTAATTGAGCTTGTATCTAGTGAGTCATCAATATTTTTTGTATCTGCTATTTCAGTGTTTTTCCAAAGGGTTACATAATTTTCATTTACCTGTCATGGACCCAGGGCCGGATCTAGCCTATCTGATCTGGGGGTGCAGTAAAAAAAAGTCAGGGGCCATAATGTCAAAAGTGTGACAGAGATGCATAGAACCTGTATTCCCTGTTCACTTGGCACGCTTCTGTACCATAGAGTCACAACCCGAAAGTAACATCTGACAGATAGGTGGAAATGGGGTGAATAGAGAGCACTAGAATGTATTAAGATGATTAAACAGAACCTGTGCCCCCTATATCAGGTGTCCCTATCAGAGTCCCTCCTTACATCAGGAATTCTCCTCAAAGTTTCCTCTTTACACCAAGGTACCTATA